CGTTAAGTTGGTGTTTTCCAATAAATAACTCCACAGCCAAGGCCTTCTTAAAAAGTGAGGGAAGCAATACCATCCACGTAGAACTAGCTATCACCTCCGCTGAAAACGAAACAAGAAGGGAAACCGGCTGATGCTCTAATTTGGGTTGGATTGCGCATGAAGTCGGGATAGCATACACAGCTGGATGTTAAGTTAATATGTACGAGTGAAACATTAGTGCCTCGTACATAGCAAACGGAATTCCCCGAAGTCCTAATGATGGCATTCCCATCAATCGCGCGATCGCAATATCTGAGACTGGAGCTCCAACGAAGATGGACGGAATGAGGATAGTGGATGAGAGATTGGCTTTGATAACAGCTCGGTTTGAAGATGACCTATCGACCGAAGTTTTGTGCACTATGAAGTTTTCAGTCTCACTTTATTGATCCTACAAACTACCCAAGGATAAGGAAACTTTACGACGAAAATATCATATCAAACAACAAATAGAATGAGCTCATTACTTGCTAAACAAGGTTTGTGTCCGTGCCAAGCTGGTAAGTTTAAGCTTACCAAGGCATTCCGTCCTGAGAAATATCTTCAGAGCAACGCAACACAGTACTACGGTACAAATTAAAACATACTTAGAACAAATCACAGCGATGAGGACAGGCACTTACAATAATGTGCGGAACATCCTGTGCACTGACAAGACGGGATTTAGGAAAACGATTACTTGGATCCGTTGCGAACAAATGGAGTGTAAGATGGATCAGTTGCCCGGAAGACTCTTTTTGTGGAGAACCTTCCATTGCCTTATCATCAGCTACCAGAATGGCGGTTAGAGAATAGTTGGGAGAAACGGCACCGAGGGGAGTATTTGAGGCCCTGTTGGATCCAACTGCTGCGATGTCCGCATGGGGGTAGACTGTTGAAGGGGAAAGAGAAAAACTGCCCTGCCGAGGAGGCGGAATTGAGTGTGATGGGATCACGCGACTTGGTTCGGATAGATGCTGTTCATAAATGCCAAACGTGAACGATGGTTTGTCTGGCTGGTAGAATGAGTCCCGACCCGTTCGAGTCATGCGAACAATCTGGAAGTTGCATGTTGGGAAATAGACTCAGTATATGAGCCAACTCTCAGAGGGATGGTTCAATTGTGGAACACAGAAGAACAAAAGGACGAAGCATCAAAGCAACAGAGTGAACTTTAAGTGCTCGACAAGAACGTCCGAACAAATGCCAATGGGGCAGAAGAATACAGAAAAACTAGAAAAAAAACAATGAGGACACCTCGTCTTTGTCCAGCCGTTCACTGACGATCCGCGGAACTCCCAAATAAGTTTATCCTGTAGAGCCTCAAAGTATACCCCTAGCTCCGTCAATAGAAAAAAGAGCTCCTGAATTTTTCAGAATGAATCGTACGAAACCAAAGGTACCTGAGAATTTAGTTCTGTGGACTCTCAATACAGAATGCTGAACTACTGTGATTCCCTAGCATAGGCCCTCCAATGCCGTAATCCTCCCAACAACATTGTTCATGGACGGGGATGAAGTCCTCAGTCAATGCCGTCTGATCTGTTTGCTTGCATTTGAGAAAAGGAGTCTGTCCCAGACAACTGGGGAGAGTTGGTGATAGCGCCCATGTTTAAAAAAAGGACGCGCAGTGAGTGTGGTAACCACAGGGGGATCAGCTTGACCCCGGTCGTGACGAGACTGTTGACATCAATTGTGCTTCCTCGCCTTACGGTGGCTCGTGAGATACTGACTCGAGAGCAGCAAGCGGGATTCCGGCCTGGGGTTGGTTGCATTGACCAAATCTTCACACTTCGTCAGGAGCCAGAACGACGTCATACGTATAAGCAACCCATAATTCCGGTATTTATTTTCAAGGGCATTGACCAAATCTTCACACTTCGTCAGGAGCCAGAACGACGTCATACGTATAAGCAACCCATAATTCCGGTATTTTTCGATTTTCAAGGAGCATTCGACTCGGTTGCCGGTCTGTTCTTCTTGACACGCTAGGTCATCAAGGAATACCCAGAAGTTTGTGAACATGATACGTTCTTTGTATTATCAGACTTCCGGACGAGTGACAGTATACGGCGAGCTCACCAGAAACACCCGAGCACAAAGTGGTGTCTGTCGGGGATGTCCACTCTCTCCATTCCTATTTAACTTCGCGATGGATGAAATCATGAAACGAACGCCGGAAGGTCTCCGATGTAAGATAGTGGAGAATCAGTGTGCAAGAAATTAAGCAAAAACAACGAAGGCCAGACTGAGCACCACACTCAATCCGAGTTCACTTTTGAATATGGGCACTAAAATCAACTCACTCCAGCGCCCCGTGGATAGATGCAACTAAGATAGACATGCAACGATAAGGAAGTTTACAACCGTGCTTCAACATAGCAAGGATATGATTTCATGCTGTTCTGAGGCCGAAGAACGTTTCATTTTCACAATTTCTGTTGCGGACCGGTAGCTCGAGGGAGAGTAGAAGGTAGCCAACAGATGTTCAAACTATTCTTCATTTCCGGACTTCAGTAAGCCATTGTGATTCGGTTTGTGGATGACGCAAATGTTATTTGGAAAAAATGTTTACACAAGGAAATGATAATAAAGAATTCAACAATACCAGGAGCAGAGGATTATGCAAACAGCCACTTACGTGAAGGTCGTATTTGGAGTGGTCCTCAATCAGATGATGAAATACTTGCTCGGGGCGGAGAAAAGCACCAACAGAGTGACTTAACTTGATCGATCGCAAGCAATTCCGGGCGAAGACTGGGGGACGTGGAACCAAAAAGTTTAAGTCCGCGAGGAAGTCTGCTATCGGATAATCCAGGATGCCAAGTGAGTCACCTGGAGTAGAACGTGCGTGTCTCACAAGAGGCACTTTGCGTACAACGCCGATAGACGGCTGACGGGACGACGAACGAGCTGTGGTGATGTATCCAGAAATACGGATGAAGATATAGTACAATACTGGACGCTAACGATTCATTGAATGTTTTAAAATATGAAACCAGAACTGCATTGTTGCACACGCCATTAGAGGATGTATTTCCAGGGGATCTCAGAAGTTAACCTCTTTTCACCGGCTTGTTTATCTGCAACTGGAATTAAAATGAGCGTGAACCTCTGCTGCCAATTTACTCAACCACTCACTAAAGTTCATTCATTCATATTCCAATATAGACCTTTAATCTGCAAGTGAAAAGTTGCAGTTCAGCAAAACGGGTGATGGCGCAGTGACAACGCAGCTTTTGTGAAGTAACTTTCCGTAGTATCGTGAATATCGGTGAGTTTTATAAACTTTGGTTAGAGATTTCATCTCAGTTTTCGTTCTAGCAAGTCTGGTTTCAGGCCACAAGCAACTAATGAGCTGCTTATGTGTTTGTGTCGTTTTAAGATTTCATGTAATTGTTTAAAGATAGACAACGAAGAACCATTACTGCCTGCCTTGGTAGCCTTAAGCAAAGCAGGATCTCCATTCTCCAACTACATAGAGTATACAGGCGTGCCCCATAGGACCAATCCTAGACACCGGCAACTCTGTTTACCATGCCATGGCATAATGTTTCGTAGAACCATCGTTGAAACTGTTAGGTTGGTGTGCCAGCACAATCAGCATGATACTCGTCAATTCATGGACACCATTCAATCCTCAAACATCAACGTACTTGCTAGACATAAACCTCCTGTTCACAAACGTCCCCCCCCATGCAGACCAGTTCCCATATATGCCAGCCATGAGCATCCCTTTTGGGCGGCCGTTGCCTGACGTCCTAAGGGGCAACCGGAGCGGACTACATTGAAGTCTTCCAATTCACACCCGATAATTGGACGACACATTCAGTCCGTTAGGCTACGGTACGAAACACGTGTAATAGTGGTCATCCGATTATCTCATTAACGTCAGAGCAGGAAAACGAAAACCTTCGCGTACTTGACGGAGTAACGGCGCGGAGCAGTAGACAACCTGTAAAAGTGACAGTGAATTTTTAACACCTCACCTCAGAAGTACCTATGCCGAAACAGTTTACACTAGAAAAGTGAATATCACCTTCCAGTGTTCTCGTGCGAAGCTCGTTTGAAACTTAAGGACAAAGTGTCAGACAAGACATCTAGATACGAAGACATCTCCACGAGTACATCTGTTGATGTATGTCACAAGAGGAACCTTCAAAACCAAGTGCTACTGCCAAGCACTTGCTTGAAACTGGTGATGCAGTAAACAAAGATACTACTCTTAAAGTCTCAAGTCGTCCCACAAAACAGATCAAAGACAATTAGGAAGCTGATGCTCCTCAGAGCTGAATGGGTGGCGATCCGCCTGTTAAACTCGTCTATTTTCGCATCCAGACCAGTACTTTTACTGCTGATCTAGTAAACATTGGTCCATCTCAGTGTTTTTAATTGCTTTTCCCAAAAAAATTCAATCTTTCTACTGTGTTGGTGTAATCCGAACCCCGAAGCTGAATCCTAGGAGGCAACAGAACGCATTCTACTATTTTCCAGAGTTTTGGTTCTACTTGAAATCAGATGAGTCAGATCAGCGTACACCATCGTCTTCACTTTTGACAAAATATTCGGGAACATAGGGAGATATGTGCAACTGAAACAACTTGTGAATTTCGAGAAATACACTCATTTGCAAATCAATTTGGTTTTCACGGGAGACTCAGTTGAATCTCTCGTTTATGATGTCCTCCAGCTGAATTTGCTGCACACAGTCCGCCTCATAATTCAGTCGGCACGATATTCGGGATATCGCAGTGCCAACTGAATCATGAGGCGGCCTGTGTGCAGCAAATTCAGCTGGAGGACATCATAAACGAGAGATTCAACTGAGTCTCCCGTGAAAACCAAATTGATTTGCAAATGAGTGTATTTCTCGAAATTCACAAGTTGTTTCAGTTGCACATATCTCCCTATGTTCCCGAATATTTTGTCAAAAGTGAAGACGATGGTGTACGCTGATCTGACTCATCTGATTTCAAGTAGAACCAAAACTCTGGAAAATAGTAGAATGCGTTCTGTTGCCTCCTAGGATTCAGCTTCGGGGTTCGGATTACACCAACACAGTAGAAAGATTAGTCTGATAGGGGTAGAAACAGCATCAAATAGCCACTCATTACTCAACCCTTAAGATGTAGTCTGTTAATCCCGCGCGAGAGCAGAAATCGGGCATACTTCCTACTATCTGCATTTTTAAGTGTTACCCAACCGATAACTAAACGATCACGTGCTTGAAACAACGTAGACGGGCACATATCTCAAAATTGAATGATGATTTCTAGACAACCCAACCGAAACAAAACATTGCAGTCAAAATCACTGATGCAGTTGGAGTAAGGTCTTTGGCTTTAAGCACCGGGAGAAATGAACTCAGAAGTCCATGCGAAAGTGGCAATTGTTGATACGGTAGTCATTCTTTCGTCTACCAACTGAATATTTTCCGAAGAAGTAGCACATTATCTGTTCGACTTGGCTTACGAACATTTAAATTGTGAAAATCATTGACAAAGGGCATTTCATACGTAGAGGTTTCTTATAAAGAAGGTTAGGACAGTGAGGGCAAAACCGATAGCATGACTCACTAGCCAAATACTCCTGCATGACACGGAGATAATAGTCATACGAAAACGAATGGATATGTGTGTAGTCACACAGTCGGCTGGATTCATCCCATGAAAAACCGTTTATACAATGGTTTGGAAAATAGCTTGTAGACGATACTTCCAAATCACGACCCGAAGTCCCGGATACAGGAACGATGGAAGCAGCGACATTCCTCCGCACGGATGCAGCTGTGATAGCAGCCGAGGCTGCGGCCTGTGTGATCACCTCAGCGCTCAACGGGCCACTGATGAGAGCGCGTGATGCATAGCGACTAAAACGACCGAGTTCGATCGTGCCCAAGCGCACATAAAGATGGGAGCGACGGATGAAAACCTGATGAGAGGAAAGAAAAGAGCAAACTGTTGAGCTGCGACCCTAGAAAACGTGTGCGCAACATACAACTGGGAAATGTGTAAACAAGGCATGACCATGTAACAGCTACAAACTACGCACTCAAGCGTAAAGCTTCTAAATGTTATAATGCTTTATCCCACAAGAAACGGTTGCTAACTACTGGTGGAGGTGTTCTCGCCATCCTTTCCATCCAGATTGTCCGAGTACGTGTTTGGATATGTATGTAATTAATTAGCACTAGGTCACTCCCCCACATTTTGCTCCTTTCATCAAGGACTTAAATGAAATGATGGTTCTGCCGTGGTTGAACGCTAGTGCTCTAGATTGGTGTTGCTACTACTGATGATGACGGGTACTTGGTTAGCATTAGGAAGAAAGTATGTGTAGATGGATAGTAAATAAAGACAAGAGCTTGAACGAGTTTAGCGTTGGTTAGGCCGTGGAAAAACTAATGTTTCCGGGTTTGAACACCAAGCATTTTGCTACTGACAGCTAAGAATGGATATAATTCTGAGGCAGGACCGTTACTGACTTGGTATGTATTTCAGTAGCTCGCCCGGAGTTGCCATGCGAGGTGTCGGTTGCCAACGTAACTACGTTTTTTAGTTAAGCCTTCCACGCGCCGCTGCCAAGTGACAGGGCATAAACCACGCACGCGAACTATTTGCCCGAGTCCAACTGTGGAAAGGCAGTTTTTAACGCAGTGAGTGATAAAGCCAACGGTTGGCAGAGCTATTATGCATGTTGTATAACGTTATTCCCGAAAAACAGACCTATCTAGGGTCCGTAAACTATCCTATACTGGCTGCTAGGTGCCGCTTCGTAGGATTACTTCAACAAGAGGAGGCTGTAGTTAAAAGAATGTCTGGCATAAGAAACCAAAAATTAGACCATAACCATACAGTTGGTTCAAAACATACTTCCATTATGTGCACACCAGCCAGATGAATGACTCGGTGAAGTAACACATAGGCCCCCGGACCCACGTTTTTCGGCGCTCCTGTACTCTTGTCTTTCGTCTGAATCGGCCGGAATCCCACGCCATTCTCAATATAGTATGCGTAGTTCCTCAGGAAACTGAAGGCAGTTTGTCGAACCCATTCGTGAGTTTGACCGGTCGTGCGATGAGCTGTGCCAGTCGGAGAGAAGTCCTCACCGGAACGACTTTGAGTCAACTCCTCCAGGGTATCCACAAGTACACTTCGTGACCAGTTAAGCCACGGAGATGCCGAGGACTGTGGCAAACGAGTCGTACCAGGCGAACCTTGATTGCTCGTCCGGGATGATGAGCGGATGCCAGTAGTTCGGTTTGGGCCCCTAGTAACACTATACAGGGTATCCAGAAAAGAAGTAATTTCAAAGGTGAAGTAGTTAGCTTCTTCAACTATACACACCGAGAAAACATATCCCAGTGAAGATAAAAAAAGTGACAAACATTCAGTAACACAACCGCAATGGTAGAAACAGGATACTAGGGCACAGTTCAACAATCACCAAAACCATAAGCTTAATCGCGAACAGGAAAACTTGAAGAAACAACTTGAACTCTATCGGACGCGGCACACGGTCGGATCCTACTAATTGGAAGTACCAAAAGAAGAGAGGACCATACGCGGAAGTAAGCTTGAGCACACACGGTCAACGAGGAAACATATTCAAACCACGGATTTCCTTTGACATTAACATCATAGAGCCACAAAGAGCCATCATCGTCCAAAGCGACAGCTACAGTGCTGATGTTATCGTAAGCACTCACGCAATCTAGAGCGACCGTAAGCAGTAAAACATCGATTAACCACCAAGTAGTGTAATATGTAATTTAAACGAAGGGGGTCGTGGGGACCTCATCCTGGGAAGCGGACCGAACCAACAATACCTTCCTGCCGATTCACACGTTGTCTACCTCACAGCTTGCCTCATTCTGAAGGACTCACGGAGAATTTGGTTCGCCTCGGTAGACGAATGTGCGTTGCACATAGCTAAATCACTGAAGCTTATGATAATGGATGTTTCCCACGAATGAAGTACTTGCAGCACAGACAGATACCCGCTTTCCAACTACTGTCCAATACAAGAAACTTTGTAGGCATCAAGGTGAAACCCAAAGGTATCGATCAATTGAGATTAAGAGTATATAAACCGTCACACCACGACGAAGAGCTACGGGTGCATGTCTGGTCAAACGTAGTTCTGTTACGTTGCCCGTTCCAACCAAAGCCTTAGGAGTCAAAATAGTTGACGGAGCAGACCCTCAGATATAAAGACTGTTAACATACGTGTGCCGATTTTAAATGGGTAATAAGCTGCGTAGCTGCCACGTAAGCACGCTTAAGAACGAAGGCTGAGATACTGGCGGGATACCACAGACTAAGAGGCGGAACGCCCAATNCGCCAAATGTTACTTGGGGTTTCACGGGCAAAGCAGGAATGAATATTCGTTTGCGCAGAAGTTAGGCAGTGGCACAAACTGTCACACTGAACATACGGAGTCACCGCCAACCGAAAACGGTACCATTTCCGACAGAATGGTGGACGAAGCGTAATTCGGCGAAGGTCCGATCGACTTTACTGCATTTCATCTCAAAGGACAGTTGTCACAGTTGTCACACGCAGATAGAAAGTTCTCTCCGGACGGTCATCCCAATCGTTCACATCCACTTATTATCCCTATTCTGTTCGTGCCTGTTGTCGCTGATCAAATTTTATCCCAGAATCTACGTCGACCGGATCAATGAACTTGTCAAGTTGTTTCACAATGAGTCACCAACTTTAACGTGCCGCAAACCCAACGGATTACCCAGACCCTTATCCTTTGAACGTTCAAACTATCAGGCCATTAGACTGATTTGTCTGTATCCCCATTTGCCGATTGACGTTCACTGCACTAAGAGGTGCTTGTGTGGGACGACTTTCGCAGTGAACGTTCTTGGAGACCTGGAAGATCCATCTTAGAGATCCGTTTCTATTGTCGTTTGATAGCCTGTTTCGAAGAGTTGAGTTTGGGTTCTAAGTTGTTTTGATTCCAGACCAACCATCTGTTTACGAGCTACCGGTTTCTGGTGATCAGCTCTTAAAATGCCTGAAAACGTTGCAAGCAAAGGCAACAGACCTTCCAACGGTGTTCCTATTGTTGATTTCTATTCGGTCAGATTTGTCACACTGCTATAGGGATTTGCAAAATAATAGTTTTATTCGTACGAGGATACTGATCTATAATCTCACTTAAATAAATGTAAAATACTTACTAGACAGAAGTTCGCGCTTTTCTACCTTAACTGTTAACTAAATAAATCTTTAGGACACTCCGGTCCAAGAAACGACACACAAATGCGCATGCACTTCTTCACGCTGGCCCAGTAGGCACATATATAAGGTGTTTGAATATCTACTCACGGAAAGCTCAATAGGTATGAACCGTATCCTGAACCGCGGAACGGATGTTAACCTCTCGTAGACGAGTTTACTAAGTAAGTCACTTGAAGACAGCAGATCCGACTGAACCTGAGGATGTGTACGACGGTGTACGTTTTCTGAACTCCTCCTATGCGGGTTCTAGGAACTTTAATGCATGTGAGTTTCGACGGTTCTCGCAGACAGTATGGCAGGATAACATCTTCCTCAAGATTACGTCCACCTTAAACTGTCTCTTTACGTCAGTCATGTAAAGCCGCCTTGTTAAAATCCGACGAACGTCTAGTTACAATTATGATTTATTCCAAGAGATAGTGTCAATAAAAACTGGGGGAACAGGGGAATAGTTCGACGTCACAATTAATGCCCACCTGGGTATACGTCGAACGGTGGCTGGACCAAACACGGGAGCTACTAGATCACGCAACCGTTTCGCACACAAAGCGCTTGAAGGCGACGTCAGGCTCGTCTTCACATTCGGCTTCGAGGCAGATGTCTCCTGGGCTGTGTAACAGGTTCAGCTACANCGCAGTGTGGCCTGCTCCAGCTGGATTAGGCGCACAACCTGCGCGCGAAGACTAGGGCAGAAAAGAATGGGTGTGCAAATCGTATGCAAGTGGCGACAAGCCAAGCGGATTGCAGAAAACCGTTTCAGACGTTTTTGCAGTGGCTCGCTGTCCAGTGCAGCTTCAGCCTGCAAGAGGGACAATAGAGTGAGCGACGCATCAAAGATTGCTTTAGGATAAACTTTCACTGCCAAAATCGGATTGTGCAAAATGAAAATAGGGTGGCTAACGATACGTGAAAAACGTTGCAGTGCTGCATGTTGGTCTTCAAATCAAGCATAACTCACGCATGAGTCTGTAACTACTTCTCTCCGGGAAACAGCAGAGTGTTCTTGCCTTTCGAATATCGGAGAACCAGGCTTGTCCGTACAGCAGCCTACTGCTTTCCGGCGTATCCGTCGCTCTTGCCATGCCCGGAACGGTAAGCTGACGAGGTCTAATTTTTGAGCACGCCGTCTATCCAAATCCATAACCGTTAAAGCCTGGCGGCCATGCCGGTAGACCAAGTCCAATGGACCTGATGTATCGAGCGGAGGAATAAAGTTGCAATCCTGAAAACGACATAGAACAAAGGAACTATCATAAGCAACGCAAAAGTAAAAACTAATTTTTCCCAGAGTGTTCGCTAATGGGAACCGGTAACGTTTCACGGAAACCAATGACAGAAGTCGGAGCCTGATCCTCTAGTTGTCTTAGTTAAAAACGATATACACTGTTCCCTTTCATACAACGAATCTCAGGAACAGGCGAAATCCCACTTTTCTTCTAGGTGCCCTCTCCTGTGTCGTGTATTTGAATCTTTTTTTGGAAGAGCTTCGTATGATGTAAAGGGCGGTTTGGTTTTGTCCTACTAACCTGTCCGTCATAAAATTCTATAGTCTCATCGTGTAGGATGAGTAGCCGATAGACGTTAGGTCATCTATGGCATCGGTGGTTTTGTCCACTGCATCTGACAGTCCTTGAACCTGTCCCGTGTTAAAAAGGCAGTAGATTCAGGGATAAAACATATGAAGCATACATAACGCCCCCAGCAAAAGGGATTAACTTGTTGGGCATAGCTGACTGATCACCACTCCACAATTTTCAGTAGCACACCAATTAGTTGTTTCGCGCTTCCTCTTCCAGAACCGAGGTGGATTAGGAGATCGCGCGAAACCTACCTAAACCTACCTACGCTTAGTAACACATACTCCCATTGAGGAGACGGAGAAGCCCATCACCAGAAGTGTATCTTGATGAAGCTCGATTATATCCTGTCATCTTCAGTAAAACCTCAATTTTCGAAGCTATCTCAAGTGATACTGACTAGAACGACGAAGTCTGGGTCAAAATGTACATATGGTAAGGTTCAGATTATTTAATTATTTTTGACATGAACCGTGAATGTTGAGCTTGGTAAGCCATCGAACGTAAAAGCTGCTTAAGGGTACGGTTGGCGCGAAATTCTGCACATTGAAGCATACTGTCTTTTGAATAGTATTGGAATTGTAACAAGGACCTCACAAACAAACCATGATCGGTTTCGCTCGGTTCATCCTACACATCGGTCCAATAAAATCCTGAAACAGTTTTGCACAGTACAAATACTTGGGAGTGCTGGGAATCGAAGGACTAATTTGACGCCTGTTTGAACCTTCCAGTTATATACATTTATTATGCAAATGAGTAACAAATACAGCTTAAAAGTGAGCTGAATCGGTAGTGCTTTGTTAGTATGTTTGCAACATAAGGATAAAAAGCCTGTGAATAGATTTTGTACACTGATGTGGAATGAAGACCATCCTATAGTGTATCTCCTAGAGACCAATATCATGAGCCGTTTGATTCCTGCACCTTGGAAGTCGTACTCCAGAATTATGTTTCTTTAGCAACACTCACTGACATCCTACTAGGGTACTTAGAGGGTGCCTATTTTTGCCCGACAAAAACATCTACACTGACAAATACGTGCGTGATCAATTCTTCCGCTTATTGGAAGCACCACTTTAGGAATACAATAAGCCCCAGATGATGAATAAAATTAAGACTGTGTTGTTGCTAACTCGTTTTGGAAGCTGTCTACCGCCGAAAACACCCCATTGAGAAAGGGAATTAATAGGCAATTAGTTATTTTATTCAAAGGTGACCATACGAGCACAGAGACCACGCGCTACGATTCCGTTAATTGGGCACAAGAGCGTTAACTGCATAGAAAATTCGCTTTACAGACCGACTCAATAAATGAGTCTGTTTTTCAACTCTGCTTTGCAGCCACGCGAGATTCAAAGGCTTATTACTACCGACAAACCTTTGCTCAAAGACGTGCTTTCGACCGGCATAACGCAAATCAACACATCGCGTCACTTTTCCCCACCTCAATATTCTGACCTGGTCGGTTGCGCACCTTGCTTCCATTCATATATATATA